CCCCCCGCTCTCAGCTGATATGTACACAGACAGACAGAGAGAGAGTGAGACGGACAGGAAGAGAGAGAAGGAGCGAAGGATTTAGCTCTACTAGGTAGGTAGGTAACTAAGACTACACCGACAGTGGGTCGAAGTGGGCGGCCTCCTCCTTGGTGGCGGTGCGGGTGGAGGGGTCGCCCTCATTCCCAGTCGTCTTGCCCGGGATGTCGGCCGCCGGGCGCTGGGGGGCGGCCTCGGGCACCGCCTTGATCTCTGTCAGCGGACCCTCATCGGCTATCACGGGCAACTCTGACACACACACACACACACACAGAGGCCGTGTGCTTGTGGTGCTGCGTCTCTCTGTGTGTGTTGGGGGCGGGCCGCTGTGCATGTGTGTGTGTGTGTGTCAGGGGTTATTCTGTCAGTAAGGTTACCTTGAGCGAGGTGCTGTGCGGCCCTGTCCTGTGTGTCCTTAGTGGCGGTGAAGGCGCCCACACTGCCCAGCGAGTAGGCCAGCGTGTTGGCCACGAAGATGATGAATGCCAACATATACTGACAAATGGACAAACAGCCAGACATACACACACAGACACACACACACACACACAGGGATGACACACAAGAGGTACCTGGAAGCAGTCGCCCCCGTCGCGGATGTGGAAGAATGACTGGGCCGTCAGGCCGCTGCGGTCCTTGTAATGGTAACCAAACCCCATAGTCTGCAGAAACAAACAAACAAACAAACAAACCAACCAACCACACACACAGAGAGAGAAGCGTCTTAACATTTCCACATAAGCAAGCTTGCCTTCATCGGCTGTGCTGACGCTGACCTGTCCGGCAGTGAATACGGCCATCATGCCCGTGAGCACTGGGCCCACAGGGTGGTTGCGGAATGGACCGAAGGCACTGGCCAGCGCCACAGCGCTGCTCACCATGAGGTTGAACGAGTGGTGGAACACAAACGGCTTGGGATCCTCGAAATTGAGAATACCTGTACAATGTGCCACATCCCCCCCTCTCCCTCTCTCTCCCTCGTGTGTGTGTGTGTGTGTGTGTGTGTCTGTGTGTGTGACGCACCGAGTGCCATCAGGAAGCAGCCGGATGCGAGCGCCCACACGGAGAAGGTCCATGCGGCGCCGTTATGGGCGTCGATCCACTTGAGCGGGCCGACGATGCGGTCCGAGTACACGGCGAACAGCAGCCATACCGACGACACCACCACAAACAGCCACGCCACGGCCGTCTGCACACACACAAAGAGAAATGGATAGGGACAGAGAGAGAGGGAGAGAGGGATGGATGGGTGTGTTACCTGCAGGATGTCCCAGCCGTCGTCATTCCAGAAGAACTGGACGTTCTGCGGGTTGTCGGACCGGGTGGCGTAGACGAGCCCGGCGCCGGCGCACTGGCCGGCGAGCACCCAGCTCCAGGTGAGCAGGGCGATGCTCGACAGCTTGTGGTCCCGCCACGGGTGGAAATACAGCGACGTCAGGAGCATCGCCGTGATGAACAGCAGATTGCCCCTGCACACACCACACCACACCATAGGCCGAACACACAGATATGGTGGCCATGGCGCCATGGATGGATGGATGAATGGATGCATGTGCTGCTGTCCTGCTGACCAGTGGTTTGCTTGAATCCACTGGTCGTTGCCCGCTGGGAGAAGAGACCCCACCCCACACACACATAACACCCAGAGATGACCACATGCATCCCATGATCCGAATCTCATGCCACACGCATACCCTCGATGGGGTCGTTCTCCGTAGTGGGCACAAAGCTGCTATCGACGTCCCAGTCGTTAAGGGTCAGCATGCCCGCCACCAGCAGCAGCGCGATGAACAGGCCCGTACCCGCCATCCAGCAGATGACCTGTGTACACGCATCAGGCAGGCAACCACATCTCACACCCCTAAGGATGATGCGGTGATGATCCACAAACGAATCTCACATGGTTGCGCTGAGACTTTGGGATGGTCTTGCTCATGAAGATGGTCTCGTTCCCCATGGTTGATTGACCACTAACACGGCTGCACAGCGGGGGAGATGATGATGCAGGCGGGAAAAACCTTTGCGAGCTGCAAGCTTATGAGAGGATCGCGGAGGGAGACGAGAAGCCGAGAAGGCAGCCTTCGTCGGCGTCATTATGGAGGTGTTGGCATGTACATCGTTATGCAGTTGAGAAAAAACGCAGCGGACTCATGTTTTCTGCGTGTGGAAAGGTGGGTGGCGGCGGGTCCAGTGTACGGGAGCAGATGTAGGGATGTAGGTGCGTGTTTGGGCTGGGCTGGGACGCGTGTGCGCGGCGAGGAAGATTGAGTGATATGTACGCATGCTGGACTCCTCATCCAGACGCTCACTCTCTCTCTCTCTCTCTCTCTCGTGTTCGCCATTCCCTCATCCATCCAGCCCATATGCAGTCGATGAGCAACTCACTGACACGCTGATGCATTCCACTGAGTATTGTGAGTGACACACAGCTTATTATGCGCTACACAGCAGCTTATCAACCAGCAAACAAACACTGCAGCAACCACTAGACGGCACATGCTGGAAACAGGCCGACCGACCCCCGGGATGTCGACCATACAGAAGCCGGGGCTGGCGCATGACTTATAAATATGTACCACAACAGATGCACCGCGCCCCAGGCACTAGTCGGCTAGTGTATGTGGTCAGTCGATTTCTTTTAAAGCCAAGAAATAAGAAATGCCCCCACAAGCAAGCAAAGCCTTTTCGAAGGAGCGAAGCTTAAGGGAAAACGGCCAATCGCAGACACACGCGCGCCACGCACCCACTGCAGCAAAGGAAGGCGCAGACAGTAATACAGACAGACGAAAAATACTCAGCAGACGTCCGTCGTAGGCAGGCAGTCGGCCATATATTGCGTTCATTCAACGTGCCTAAATCCTATGTATACCTCTAAGGCCTAATGAGCCCCGCCCGCCCTCTGTTCTCACTCCTGGGTCGGGGTCGGGTGGTTATGGGGCAGGGGGAGGGAGACAGTCGTCACTGCACGTGAGCTTCCCGGACGTCGCGAAAATGGTGAAGTGCTTAAACGTGGCGCAGTTCCTGTGCACACACACATTCAAGAGATTAACAGGTAGGGCAGGGGGCAGTGATCAAACCCGAGATAGTCTGGTCCCTGAGCTGGGTCGATCGTCAAGCCAAATGTTCTCATGGTGTTGAGGGACTGCATCTCGCGAAGAAGGTCAAGCCAAAGATCGAACGGTACTGAGGGATGGCAATGGACAGATGGCCATCATGCAGTCAAACAGGCAGGGAGACAGACAGAGAGACAGACGGGTAGAATAAGAGTCGAGGGTGGAGTGTCCCTTTGTCTCACCCAGTGTCTGAGTCATCGGCAGCGTCTCGCTATGGCAAGCATAGCCATCTCCATTGTTGTCGAGCTTTACGAAGTGGCGCAAAAGGTCCTGACACGCCTCCTCCTCGCAGGGGACCTCTTGAGGGAGCAATTCCTCCTCTCCTCTTCGGCCTGACCGAGAAGGGCAGAAAGGGTCTGCGTCACGGTCTGTCTCTGGAAATATGAGTGACATGGCTTACAAGGGTCCAGTTCGGTTATCATTTCCTTGAGTGGTGACGGGTGGCCATCCAAAGTGAGCCAACCGGACGAGCAGATCGGGTTAATGCCTGCAAACACATACCAACGGCAGATCACTTTTTTCTCAATGTTTCAGCTGCGTGTGTCTCTCTGTGTGTGTTTGAGCCGACCCGTGTTCAGAACGTTCAGCGTGTCCCTGAGTCTTGTAATCTCTATTGGCAGGCTGCCCAGCAGATTGTTCCTCAGAGAAAGGATTTGCAGGCTCCTTGCCTCCCCGACAGTGCTGGGCAGGTCAACGATCAAGTTGGAGTCGAAGTAAGCGCGAGACAAGAGAGGCAGCTTGAACAGAGAGGATGGGAGGGCCTTCACGGCTGCAAGAAACAACCATGTGACACAGACGGATGGTGGGGTGCTGCGACCGCTTGTTCACCTGAATACTCCCAGATGACCAGCCTTAAATACTTGAGGTGCTTTCCGATCTCGTCTCTCATCTCGGTAACGTTGTGTTTCAGCCTGTCGGTCGCATGCTAATGCAAGCACACCAGACACAAAGAGACAGACAGGCAGATATGCGCGAGAAAAGTGCCGTGCAGTGTCCGGCTCACTTCCAACTCGGGGTAGAAAGCGGCAACCTATCGTAGAGAACACCAGCACGCACCACACGCCGTTGCTGCCGCAGCCAGGGCCGTGCCGTGATTACCTCTAGCGTCGAGTAGTGGCTGATGGCTTCATTGAATGCTTCAATGTCAGTGTCATCTTTCGTCGTCATGACTCGACAGTCACACCTGCAACCAAACATAGCAGAGGGGCCGGCGAGCGCATGTGTGTCCTTAGTTGTGTTATGGGTGTGTCTCTTGTCTGACGGGATGCGGAAGCCGGGTAGGATGAAATCCTCGGTTTCCCGCTTCAGGCCTTCGTTTTGGCCCAAAATGGAGTCCGAATCCAGCTGTCTGAACGGTGGTGAGGTCGGATAGGTGCAGATATGAAATCCAGGCAGGTGACGGCATACATATCCAGCTGACACATGTACACAGACACACAGATAGGTACATGTCTCTCTTCCACGACGGATCGCGGTATCTTTGTACCTCTCGCAGTCTGCATGATGATCCACCCGAAGGGGGCCCAGGCAAGCAAGAGCGATAGCGCAGACACCCATTTTGCAATGAGCACGTCCAACACGCGAACCATCGGCACCTTCACTTTGGCTCTTTTTGTGCCATGACGGGTCGGAGTGCCCTCACGCGCGGCTGACAGGTCGCTGTTGGCTGGAAGCAGCTCGGACTCCCGGCGCTCTTCCCGATCGTCCTCCCCTGTGGATATGCTGGTCCTGTGCTCGGATGGGGCCAGGGCGATGCTCACGCGAGTAGCCTTGCGGTCAAGACGTGGTCTGCTGTCAGATTTGAGGATCGACTGGAGTCGTTTCATCTCTGGCTTCATGTCTGACTGCTCCTCAGAGGCTCCCTCGTCAAGGCTGTCACGCTTGCTTGTCGAGCTCCGCTGGCTGATGGTCGGCGACGAGTCAGTTGAAGACGAAGCGAATTGAGATGAAGAGGCAGCGTGCTGTGAGGCGTCTACTGCCATCTGTGTGATCTCGGGTACCGGCGGGAGGAGGCCCTCTCCTAGCACGTCCAAAAGGCTGTTCCGCTTTGTGGAGCGCCGTCGCCCCTGGTCCTCCGGGAGGTCCGGATCGATGTCGATGAAAATGTCGACAGCTTCGATATGTTCAGGGACGTCAGAGTCCACTGATATGCGTGGCGCTCTTCTGGGCACTTCTTCCTTGCTGCAGTCTTCCTCGGTGTGGACGTCCTTGGGCGGTCGATGCGCTTTCAGTGCGTGCAGGAGCAGAACTTCGTGGCGGATACAGAATGGGCTGTCGCCTGCAGATGCAGAAGAAAAAGGAGTCAAGAGAGAAAAGCTGGCCGGACTGACCTTCACGCACGATTGACAACTGGCTCCGCCGGCCGACTGAGGCGTGGCTTTCGCTGAAGACCCGATCCCGCTGCTTTGGTGACACCCGTTTCTCGACGGCAGCGGTATCGCCCTCCTGCTGCTGCTCGAGGTCGTCGAGGCGGGTCGGCATGGACTTGAGGGAGTCCTTCTTGTCTCTCCTGCTAGCCGTGGAGAATATCGACCACCGCTCTGGCTTCCGCGACTCCACTTTGCCCCGCTTGTCGCTCACATCGGACCGCTGACTCCTCAGCTCAGGCTGAGGCATGTCTCGCCAGCCAGGCATCGCCAACCGAGCGAGCAGCGAGGGGCGCTGTCCCCCTGGCAGTGCCATCTGAGAGCCACGCTTGGCGCCTCGGCCAACCCGTCTGGATGAACGTCTTTCGGGAGACCGCTCCACCTTTGGGAACTGGAAGTCGGTGTCGAGCCACTCGTCCAGATTCCCAATCATACCCAGTTGGTCAAAGAACAACTGTCTACCACCGCTGACAAAGGAACGGTAAGCAAAACCACCGAATCGCTTCTAAACACGACTTGCTCGCTTCCGTACCTCTGGAGGCTCGACTTTCTCTTGGATCCCTTCCGTGAGCCCGATTTGCTGTCCCCCGTCTGCCTGCGGGACTGGGCTGAGCTCTGGAGCTGGGTTGTCGGCTTTCCAAAAAAGGCAAAGATGGACTGGCGCATGGTGGATGACGGTCTCGACTCCCGGGATGGTCGTTTGCTGGACGTGGCGATTGACACTGCCGGTGAGCCGCCCCCCGCTTCTTGGCCACCGATCTCCTGAGGATATGATGATAGCTTAATTCCAGCACCGAAGTCATCAACAAAGATGGATACCTGGAATTGCTCGTAGAAGGTAACGCCAGAACGGATAGTGGGCTTAGTCGCCAGGACGGGGATCATTGGCCGCTCGCCCGCTTGCTCTGGGCGTGGCAGCGACAGCGCCGCATCGGCCGTTGAGATGTCTCCTTCCGTGGGGCCTCCCTCCTCGCCTTCCTCCATCACAGCCGTCAGCGCATGTGTTGGCTTCGCAGACCCCTTCTCAGCCTCTGCATCCTCTATGGCTTGGTTCACCTCTTGAAGCTGCCCGCGAACACCCAAAAAGATGAATTTGCAAGAGACTTCAGAACCGTCGCTTGGCTCACTTACATGTAAGCCGGCCACTCGTCGCTTCTGCCGGGCCTTGTATGAGTAGCTGCCCTGTAGATAAGATAAGACGCACAAGCAGAGATAAAGGCGGTCAAGTCTTCGGCAGAGAGGCGTCTCTTGCCTTGAGAAGGAGAAGGGCGTCAAGCGTGCGCAAACTCCTGCGGTGACAGACAGCCCGAAACATGCCTTCTCCCTGCCTGCGTTGCAAGTTTTGCATCCCCACCACAGTGCGACAAGGAGGGGAATAACCGAAGAGAGCATCCACAGAATGCCTGTGGACCTCAAGCCGAGAAGCGACGCGTGCGAGAAAGGATTCCAAGAGACACGCGTCTGCAAGAAGCTCCCAGCGACACAGAAAGCGTGGAGGGCATACCTGCAGAGCAAACACAAAAATGAGACTCATATCCTAATGCAGCGGGTGAAAAGTGCACTTCAGGGCGTACAGCAGTGGAAGGACAATGGAGGCAAAGATGGCAAATCCTCGTTGGCTCGTGTAGCAGAGAAGAGCGACAACCTGCAGGCACAATGAAGCAACACATACACAGTGAATGCAACAGAGGAGTTTGTGCAGCAGGCGGCACGCTCGGGCAGCCCAGCACACCAGGGCGTGAGATGCTGCACACCACAACCAGCAGAGACATGGTCTGGACATCGTTCACTGGCTTGAGTGTCAATCGTGCTGCGAACCTATGATTCCGCCAAGCGATAGGAAGACCTATGGCCACACACACGCACACAGAGTCCACTCGCTTTGGGCGATAACGGCACTCACCGCCGCAGGTGCGGCAGGGATTTCGGTCACTGGGAGAGGGAAGAGCTCCAAGCCGCAGTAGCTGATCATCCTGAGGATCTGGAGGACAAGAGTACCCACCTGCACAAACAAACACACACGTGTGTGTTCCTTATCCACGCGCATGGACAAGTAGAGAGCACCGCACCTCAAGTACGCTGTAGTTGACCCAGAACAGTTTGCCGGTGACTCCCACTGTGAGGCATACACACACAGATGGCTGCCGGGATGCGCGGGTGACTTCCACCGGAGCGCTTACCGTTGCGCACAATGACCAGCCACACACCATAGACGAAGTTGCGCACTTTGATCCAAGCGTCCGACAATTGCCGCATCCGGGAGCTCGTGGCCGTGGATGTCGTGCTGTCCTCCTTCGGAGGCTGCACCGTCTCAGCTGCCTACGCAGACAGACGATAGAAAGGCAGAGCGTGTGTATGTGTGCTTCCCGTACAATCTACCCCGGCGTCGGTGTCATTGGGAGGAAGACAGCGAGGCGTTCGTGACTTGTCTTCCCCACTGGTGGTCTCCTCGGGTGACGTTCGATCAGAGGCGTGGGGTGACCTGGCGTTAAAGGCGGTTTTCGGCGAGAGGAGGCGCTTCTCACGGGCTTTCGTGGCCGACTCACTGATCATCGAACCCTCTCTCATGCGTCGGGTGAGTTTCTGCAAAGCATCAAGCAGCAGCACGACACAACCAAGAGCTTGAGCATGAGCTTTGTTGGCCAGAGGCTCTCTCTCTCTCTCTCTCTCTCTTGCATCCGTCAGTCATCGATTTACATTCAGTGTGGCCTTCCACCGCCTGACGTACGACACACAAGAATCACCGTTATGCCGTTGCGCCACCACTATGCATTTCAGGCTTACTTGAAGTTCCAGTACTACACCCAAGCAAACAAGCAAGGCAGCCAGGCAGACAGACAGACAACGACATGAGCAGTGAAGACAGACTGCCGGGCTGCGCAGTCCTTACCTCGACGCACTGTTTCCATCTGATGATGTGTGAGTACAGGATGGCGAGGGCGAGCGCGCAGAGGCAGATCCACCCACTGCTGAACCAGAAGCGGT